ATCGTCACGACTGATTGTTGAGGTCGAGTTTCCAGAGAGGTCCTACAAAGGGAATGCACATGATAAATACAATTCATCTGAGAAACTAAGATGTTTATTGAACAACAAAACACGAATGAAATAAGCAACTAACCTTCTGGTGATCAACGAATAAGCCCCAACCTGGAACAAACCAAGGAGGACTGCAGACTATCAGAGAGAGGGTCCACACCGAAGACAGTAGACAAGCAGCCATTTTTCGTGACCTAGAACATTATTTAGAGGATTGCTGGACAAAACAGTTCAAATAATAATTTTTATTTGATTTGAATTTGTTATATTAGCTACAAAAAACACTTCATCATTCATTTTTTATTCTGTTTTGATTCATAGAAATTTATTCTGCAACTAAGTTGCTCTTTAGGATTTAGCTGGACATACGAAAATGTGAGAAGACGACCTAATTTAATAACTGTGACTGCAGAAAAACTAGCCTCCCAAATTCTGAGGTGTGATCCTGGAAAGGACTATGTTTATCTCGCAGACTAGGGACTTAGCGTTGTAAACAGACCGTTTATCTTTTAATAATTTTGTCTTCTTATTTATTTATCCTAACATCACGTTCATGTGATACAATACGAACTTATGCACGCCTTCGTGCTACTCTGTAGTAGCAAAGATTTTGATCTATATAGATGTCAAACTTAGGTTTTCCAGCGAAAAAGGTCCCTCAAGCCTCTCCAGCTCAATTGAACATTGAGGTTCGAATTTTTATTGGATCTTCCACATTGCATACAATGGTGTTAAGGTCATGCAGTCCCTGCATCTTTTGTCCAAGCAAAACGAATTTCTTTGTTGAGTACTGAATGTATGCTTACTGGGGTATATATTTTCGATTTCAAGTCTATATGTGGTCATCGAGGCGTGCCTAAACCACTCACCGTCTTTGTTAGGTGAATAATGGTTGGCACAACGCTTTTAAAAGCCCTTGCCCCACTCCTTCCCTCTTGTCCCTCCTCAAAAAGAAGAACACAGGAAAACTCTCATAATAACTCGCGAAGAACAGAAAAATGCAGAAGCAAAGCGGAAGGGCTGCGTACATATAGCACTATATAATAAAAAACCGAGAGCACCCATATTTTATGGCATGTGTCTGCAGTACTCTGTGTGGAAATGCGGCGATTTAACC